GATGTGTGTATGGATTGAGATAACAGTTGTATGAGCCCCTAATAAAATGTTAAAAAAGAGAAGAAAAATAAATAAATAAATAATAATAATTTTTAAAAAAAGAAAGAAAAGAAACATAACTTAACTGAAGGTTCCGTTTGTACAAATCCAAAACCTAATAGTCCCCTCCCTCACAGCAGGAATTCCTTTTAAGTTACATCAGCAGGGATATTCCAATTTGGGAAGGAGGCTAACTAGGTCAGTAACATAGAAACATCACATCAGTTTACATAAAAAGGGTGAATGGAGCTTACGGGCGGGGTGTGTCTCATGGCCCCTGGAGAAATGTAAGTATAGGTGATTTCCTAATGATCACTGCAAAACCTGCTTTCTGAGAGCATCAATGGTATCCTGTGACAGTATAAAAACCTGCTAATCTTCTCCTCCAACATCGTACAACCTGTTTCTCGTAGACTAACTTGTGGGGTCAGGACTGAACGCTGAAGTACCACAGATGTTCATGTATAAGCCGAGTTTTTCAGCCCATTTTTAATGCAGTTTTTGTGGTAAAATTGGGTGCCTTAGCAGATAGTTGGGCCAGCTTATACTCCAATATCTAGAAGTGTTTCTGATTTTTTCCATCATGGATCCCAATTTTTGTCTACCGAGTGTTTTACATTTAAATAAAAATGAATTTTACTCCATTTCTTTTTTATTAAAGACCTACACAGATGCAATGTGAAGTTTAGTAAGAATCCCAGACAAATGTGAGGAAACGTGTCATTTTATCAACCTTGCAATGAATGAGTGACCAACTTCCTATTAAGTCTTTGGAAATAAATTCCATTATTATCTTATTGATCTCCAAATCAGAAACCATTGCTTTATCTCTACTAACTGGTAGGGAAATAGGAACAATAATAAAATAATAATAATAATAATCACAATACAATAAAGGTTATACCCTTTCATCAGACTTATTCAATCTGTATACTGAGCAATAATCCAAGAAGTTGAATTCTATGAAAAAGAACATGTCATCAAGATTGGAGGAAGACTCATTAACAACTTTGCTTGCTGGAAATAAGGAGGACTTGAAGATACTGAAGAATATCAAAGCCTGTGGTATGGATTATACCTTATAAAGCAAAAATGCTATGGGCCAACAAGCAATATAAGAAACGGAGAAAATACTGAAGTTGTCAAGGATTTCATTTTACTTGAATTCATAATTAATGCTCACAGAAGCAGTCATCAAGAAATCCAATCTCAAAAGATGTGACTTTGAGGAATAAGATGTGCCTGACCCACGCCAAACTATTTTCAGTCACCTCGTGTGTATATGAAAACTGGGCAAAGAATAAGACTGAAGAAGAATTTACGCCTTTGAATTGTGGTGTTGATGAAGAGTATCAAATGTATCATGGCCTGCTAGACGCACAAATAAATCTGTGTTGGAAAAAGCACAACCAGAATGTTCTTTAGAAGTGAGGACGGAGAGACATCATCTCACCTACTTTGGACATGTTATTAGGACGGAAAATCACCCAAGAACGATTGCCGCAGTAATTGACAGAGCTTCCAGAGGTTCAGGCTGGATTCAGAAGAAGACATGGAACAAGGGATATCATTGCTGATGTCAGATGGATCTTGGCTGAAAGCAGAGACTACCAGAAAGATGTTTACTTGTGTCTTATTGACTGTGCTAAGACATTTGACTGTGGGGGCCATAACTTAAGAAGAAAGGGAATCCCAGAACACTATATTATACTCAAGTAGAACCTGTACACGGATCAAGAGACAGTTGTGTGAATAGAACAAGGGCATGCTGCACGGCTTAAAATTAGGACTGGTGTGTGTTGGAGTGCATCTTTTCACCATACTTATTCAATCTTTATCTGGAGCAAATCATCCACGAAGCTGGATTATATGAAGAAGATACATCATGAGGATTGAAGGAGGGCTTATTAACAACCTGTGATATGCAGATCCTATAACCTTGCTTGCTGAAAGGGAGGAGGCCTTGAAGTATTTCCCGATAAGGTCAAGGATTTCAGCTTGCAGTATGGATAATAGCTCCATGGAAAGAAAGTAAAAATTCTCGCAACAGGACCATTCGATAGCATCGTGATAATCAGAAAAGATGGAAGTTGTCGAGGATGTTGTGTCGCTTGGACCCACAATCAATGCTCATAGAAGTTGCAGTCAAGAGATCACAGGACACATTGCACAAGAGAACCGCAAGGTGTTACTTTGAGGACTAAAAGCGCACCTGACCAAAGCCATGGTAAATTCAACCTCCCGATAGGCATGTGAACGTTGGTCCTTGAATCACGGAAAGCAAATGTCACTCTGCAAGCTAACCACATCCGTGGCCATTTTTCAAATCTTCCTTCAAGGCCAGTGCCACTTTAGAGACCAGTGTTGGAATGAACATCCGGCACCAAGGGGGCGCTGGGGTCACGGCAACAGCCCTCGGGTGGATGGGATGCCTCAAACCAGAGGCACTCTGGTGTCATCCAGCCGCCAGTTTTTCCAAATCTGTGCCAGGGGCGGGGGCGGGGGGGGTGGGGGAGGGAGGGGAATGCAGCAGAAATCAAGAGAATCATTAGTAGGTTCTTTGCAGATCGGAGCCTCAGCCAGCAGGACCAGCAGGGAAGTCGTCTCTCAGAACAGCACGTTTGCACCAAACTTCTGGAAAGAACTGTGAAATATGTGGAAGCTTGAGAATCGCCAGGGCAGTGGATGTTTTATCTCAGTCACACATCTTTATGGAATTCTCCACAAAGACATCCAAAAACTAGTATCACGTTTCCTCAATAAAGGAAAACATGGGGAAAATTTTTAGAAGAACTTGTTAGATCTCTCTCGCAGCAGAAATATACCTCTGTCCTTGACTTGGCTCAAGACAGAATTCACTCCGAAGCCTGGTTTGTGATCCAAGTGAATTTTAAGAAGGATAAAAGAAGTTTCAGGTTTACACAGGCACCTCAGGGCACTTCACCCCCGCACGTGGAGTCCTGAGGCCAGAGGAGATCGCTGAGGAGACCACTGCATGGCCTCCAAGCAGCAGCTTGAGAAGCAGAAGGGCAGCAAGGCTCTGGATTCTGTCTTTTCGGGTCCTCTGCTGGGAGGCGTGGCCTGCGATCCTGGTCGACCCCATTGGTTGAATTGAATTCACCTGACCTAGATGGGCCCATCCAGGTGTAACGCCCACCTAGGTGTATCACCCCTTCCTGGCTGGAAGCTGGAACCTCTGAGCATGTGTACTATATGCCCCAGTCCCTATGCTAGCTACCTAACAAATCAGCGAACAATCGAAGAACAAAACGAGGAATTTAGTAAGGAGATAGAAACCTTAAATGAAAAGCAACTAGAAATTCAGTTTTGAAAACGATGATGGCAACATATGTACAAATGTGCTTGACACAATGGATGGATGGATTGTGATAAGAGTTGTAAGGGTCCCCAATAAAATGTTTGTTTTTTTTTTAAAGAAAGAAAAAAATTCCGAAGCTTAATAGGAAAATAACAGAAATAAAAATCACCTTAGAAGAATGCAGACGTCGAATGGGAACCATGGAAGGAAGAATCCGGGAGCTAAAAGACAAAGATTCGAAAGATTGCTCAGTTTGAAAAACAACTGGGAAAAATGAACAGGGCGTAAGGGCTCTGTGTGGTAACGGAGAGAAATAATATACACATAATAGGAATTCCAGAAAGAAAAGAGAGGAAACGAAGTCTACAAGCCATTTCCCAAATCTGGAAGATGAGATGATCATCCAAAGTGCGCCGTGAGATCCACGCTGGTTACGACGCATCGTAATCAAACGTACCAGCTGCAGAGACAGAGCGTTTTGAGAGGGAAAAGTCACTTCCAGAGAAGCGTCAATAAGACTAAGTGCTGATGCTTCACCAGGAAGAAGGCAGTGGGGGGACATAGACAAAGCCTTGGAAGAAAATAACTATCAGAAATCATTTGCCCAGCAAAATTATCATTCAAAAGTGAGAGTGAAATTAGGTTTTCCTAGATAAACAGAAATTTGGGGATTTGTAACCACCAGACTCGCTCTGCCACAAAGATGAAAGGGCATTCTCTAGAAAGAAAACATGATCCCAGCCCTACAATCCAGTGTTGATACTAAGCAACCATCTGAATAAATATAATAAAATAAATTTGCAGTGAAATATGGGGGGATTGGGGCTACACAATTATAATTGACAATAACAAAAAATGGAGACGATTGGTATCACTTTTAGGTGTTAAAGGGAATCTAAGTGATTGGGTAATTAAAATTATCCAAAATAATAATAATAAAGGAAAAAAGTATACTCCTCAAAAGAACTCAGCTTTGAAGGTAGAAAAGAAAGAAGCCATCAATCTCACCAGGAGAGGGAGTGGGGGTGAGGTGGGAATGTTTAACAAAATGCGTGAAGTCAGTTCTTCGCTACTGACAATTAATTGCAGTGAAGATAAAGGATTAAACATTCTAGTCAAGAAACAGTGATAGACGGGACTACAAGTACGACGCGTCTGTATGACAAGGGCACACCTTCAGCACAGGTGCATCAATAGATGAAAGTGGGGGTGGAGATACTGGACATAACAAGCAAGCAGGAATACAAAGCGAGCAGGAGTGGCGATGTTAATATATGGCTACAAGTTTTAAGTGAAAAGTTTCATGAGACAGAGAAGGACATGATATGCACCACGTTTTGATGATGGATGCAGCCATTTTCAAAGGGAATAAAGAAACAAAAGGCCTGCGTAATAATCATTTGGACTCAACAGACACAGAACATACCACTCAACCGTAGCATGGCACGTCATTGCACATATATTTGGTGTAGATGATTTTTAGGCACAAAGTAAATTTCAATAAGCTTTAAAAAATTGAAACCTGAAAGCATCTTATCTGGCCATCATAGAATGAAGCTACAAGTCAATAACAAAAAGAATATGGAAAGCTAAATAAATTTATGGAAATTAAACACGATGAGCCCCCAATAAGATGATTTTTTAAAATTAAAAAGCCATTGGGTTATCCACAAAATCAGAAGAAATACTTAGAATCTTACGAATGTCGTCAAAGAGGTGGAAATCATTCATTTTACTGAGTCTTGATCCTAGAGTACACATCATTTCAGTAGCTTATGAGACAAATTGGGAGAGTTATTTAATGATGGTTTAGTTGCAGAAAGCACTTTTGGGATTGATCTGTGAGCTGGCCTACCCACTCTATTCGCAGAGTTTTTGGTGAAGGAATGAGTAGCAGACAGGTGATTTGAACATAGTCATTTGGCAGGCATGTTCTCAAGCTGCCTGTTACTTCAAATAAACACCTGGGCAGTGTTCATTGCCATGACAAAATGTAAGATATATGTGGACATTAGGATTATGGGGAACACTTCCCCACCACCAGCTTCTCTTCAGTTGAAATAATAGATGGTGACGTTAACACGTGACCTTTTTGAATAATGTCATATGCCAACATTTAGAAGTAATGAGGATTATATTACTTGGTAAACCAACATCTTCCAAAAGTTACTGAAAATTCATTATGAGTGAAGTGATTTTAAGGTCATCGTATAAAAGAAGTATTGGTGAAGCTACCATTTGTCAAGTTTGGGTGCTGTATCAAAGCTGTAGCAGTGGGCTCACATAGGGCAACGATTGGGAGGGTGGTGCAGGCCTGGATAGTATTTCGTTCTGATGGACACAGCAGTGCTATGAGTGGGAACTGACATGATCATATATAACAGTAATAATATTATAATCCATGTCCACATACTGCAGGAAAATGAGCTCTGAGATACAAAAAATCCATCCAAAGTAATAGAAAATCATAACGTGTTCTCTTTTAGCATTGGGCTACAAGGAGCCATTGGGAAACATAGACTTCTATCCAAATGGAGGGATGGACCAGCCTGGTTGCCCCAAATCAATATTTGGAGGTACGTGCAGATACTTTCTCTTTTGTTAAAAAAAAGGAAAATAAAGCTACTTTTAACAATGTATATTTCTTAAATCTGATGTTAGTCTACATGGAGTAGTTATTTTTTCAAAGTTGCCAAGGATTTGATTTTACTTGAATCTGCAATTAATACTCATGGAAGGATCAGTCGGGACATCAAATGATGTTAGAGAGCAGAGAGGCCACTTTGAGAGCTCTTTCCGGAGATGATAGAAGTGCTATAAATATGTCAGTACAAAATTATAACCGGAGTAGCTATTTAAAACCATATCTGTGTCATTCAAAGCTGCTACGGATTGTGCTTCTTTTTCTGACCTGGAAATTCTGCATCTGGAAATCTCTCCTAGAGAAAATAACGGGAAATGTGGGCAACGACTAGTGTTGAACAGTGATGTTCCACACAGCATGATTTATACTGGGTGTAGTTTTAGAAATAATCTAAATGCCCAGTAGGAAAATTATTAAATGAATTATGTCACACCCACCCATACAATAATTGGATTGTTAAAAATCAGGTGTTCCGAGAGTCATGAAAATGCTTACAATATGATACTAAATGAAAGAGATCCCAAACAAGGTAGCAAGATTTCAATTCTTAAGTGTGCATTTGTACATGGGGAAGTTAATAAGTAAATAATAGTCAAGACATGGTTACTCCTAGTGGTCCGTAGATATTTGCCTTCTGGGTAAGTTTTGCGTCATTATTTCGTACAACGTTGTAGTTTCTAAACAAGCTCAAAATAAAAAGTGGGCTGGAAGGTGAGGATGGATAAAAGCCCTTATAAATCCTACATTTGTGTCTTTGCTACAGAGAGTTTAACAACCCCGGAGCTATTTAGAAAAAAAGATGATTTTTGTTACAAAAGAGTTGCTGCCTATGGAATGATCCAGCTTTTTAAGGTCCTTCTGTTTTCTTTTGCCAATGAGCCAGCTGAGCTAGCAGGTCGTGGAGTGCCGTTGGGTGGGCTCTGACTGATAGCGACCCTGCGTTCAACAGAACGATGGTCCTGTGCCATCCTCCCGATTGGTGTTCTGTTTGAGCCTAGGAACTAGTATAGGTAGGATGAACCAGAGTGTTACCCCGTAGATGGGGAATGTTCAAAGCCTGTCTGGTGTGCTCCTGTGTGACTTCACCCAGGAGCAGCCAAACAGAACACGGAGAGTTAGCGAAGGACAAACTCTACTGTAGTATCACTGCTTCTGTAAGTGAACACTCCAGGAATAATACCGGCCAGCCCCAATGGTTCTTCTTCCTCTCCTGTCATCCCCTATCTGCTCTAAAAGCACCACTGGGCCCTGGAGGAACAGGGTGAGAGTGCTGGAGTTCAGAGCCCAGGGCCTCTCCGAACAGCAGACGTACAACCACAGCTCCATGTTCCGTGTTTGTTTGTTTCTTCTCCTCTTCGGAGCCTGTCTCAGTTGATTAACCATCTTTGGGATGCTCTGGTTCCCCTTTCTGAATGACCTCAGTGTCTGACCCATCAACCTCCTGCCAACCACTCTGACATTCTGCGCAGCAGCCCTTTCTCAACGCCAACGCTTCCGATCATCAGCGCCACCTCTCCTGAGACTCCTGTGTCACCATCACGTGACAGGACCTCCACCAAGAATTAATCGAGGCTCTGTCTGTCTCCTTCTTGTCTAGTCCTGGCTTCTTGGGCCACCTCCTATCCTAAGGCAACCACATTGTAACATTGGTAAAGCGGGACACCATTGATAAAACTCATATCCTGGCGAAATAGCCACATGGCAGCCGAAAACCGTATACCCTAGCTTGTCGTGCATTCTTTCCAAAAATCGGAACTTTTAAAAACTGCCACGGGTTGCGGGGAAAATTATTAAAAATTGGGACTATCCTGCCAAAAGTGGGACATCTGGTCACTTTATCCTATCCTCTTTCTGTAGTGGAAACTGAGTCCCTGCAGGGTTCATCCCTTGGCTGCTGATACGAGTGCCCTGTACCCTCCCGCGCTTCTTCAAGCTGCCCACACTCTTCTACAGGTCAAGGCCAAGGACTTATAGCCCAGGCAACTCCATTTTCTCCTGTGGTCTTGCTCCCCTGAGCATTTGGGGGTCCCTCCTGCCCTGCTGAGATCAGCTGGCCTCGCTTCCTTGATTCTCAGTAGGGTGTTCACCACAGGAGTCCTCTCTCACACAATCACCTGGGACCTCAGGTGACTGCATCCTGTGGTTAGGAAATGTGTCACCCGGAACTGCTGCTGCTCCTTGGTAAACCTCAAGTTTGGTCCTTGGTGAAGATCCAGCGCTGTGTGCGATGATAACGCACACCCACACAAGCGCACTCCCATCGCCCTCCGTCCGTCCTGCGCAGCAGAGCTTTGCAGACTTGGCACGCATGCAGACAAGGAGGGCTTGTAGACACTTGTTAATGCACTGCAATCCCCAGGGGCTGTGGTGGCGGGTGGTGTGCTGTTGAGTCACCTCGATGACAGAACAGAACTGCTCCTGAGGGTTTATTTTAACGTGGGAGCAAGTCTTTTCTTAGTGAGCTGCCAAACAGTTGTCCGTTCTACCCTCAGGGCTCCTCCTTCCAGAGCCAGGGCCCCAAACCTGCCTTTCTAGCGCGTTCCCAAGAGACTCTGTGGCTGCTCGTTGGGTCGGGGGATCATACTTAGGGATAGAGTCATGAGGATCTTTTCTTTCTTTTCTAAGGATCGGTTTTGAAAGCACATTGACTTTACCACGTGTGGGCGTGGCCCCTCGGTTTACTGACATTAAAATGAGGATAACACCACTTATTTGGCAAGGTTGTGAGGCATAATAATATTTTATATAAAATACCTAATATATACGATGCAGTTACTAAGTGATTACTATCACTAGCACAACAGTCTTTCTGATTGGTCTATTCCAGTGAGTGTAAGATTTATAGATTGCTGGTTTTTAAATATTTGAAATTTTTGCTTTAAATTCTTTGAAAAGAAATTTGGAATACTCAATTTACCAAGAGAATAATTTTTTTAACCATTTTTTTTAACCATTTTCTTGACATATAATTCATTCATCATATAATTCAGTGGTTTAAATGTATTTAGAGGAGTTGTCAATTATCACCACAATCAATCTTAGGGCATTTTTTCATTCTTGTACATGATTATTAGCTCCTAATGTTCTCCTAGCCTGCCCTGCTGTAACCCTAAGAAACAATCCAGTCACTGTCTCTCTAGATCTACTTTCCTGGATTTCATTTCAAGAGATACATACAAAAACAGACAAGCAAGAAAACAACACCCTAACAACAACAACAACAACAACAAAGTAAAACAGAAAAAGACCTCAATCAAAAAGAGAGCAGAAAATAATAAAAACCAGAACAAATTTAAAATGAGTCAAAAATGAGAAAGAACGATCAAGTGTTAAATTTTAACTACATCCGCATTTATCCCCCTCCGGAAGAAACCCCACTACCATCGAATCTATTCCGACTCACAGCAACTCTCTAGGACGGAGAACTGCCCCAGTGGGTTTTCTCCATAAAGCAGTTGGTGGTTCAAATTGCAAATATACCTATCTTTATATATCTATATAGACATATCTATATTTATACCGATATATAATTTTTACTTTCTTATTCTTTCCTTTTTTTCTTTTTTCTTTCCTCCTGCCCCACTATCATGTTTACCCATCATTCACCTCTCAGCAATTCCTCTCTGATACATTTAAATTATTCAAGCACCATCAAACATGCTACCCCCTCCTCACTGTCTACTTTAGAGCCCTGTCCCTGTCATTATTTGCTCATCACTCCCCTCCCCCCTGCCTCCTCCTCTCCTATGCGCCACCTTGGGATTGCTTGGGATTGCTTAGAGAGAGAGAGAGCATACAAACAGTTCCAAGTTTCACTGTTGCCCTGACCCAGAGTAGATGCGCATCCCTCTGTTAAATATCGAGCAGGCCCTGTTAGAATCCATTGGCCCAGTCCCCTTTTCTCTCAGGGAACCATGTCCCAGGACCGGCTTAGCTAACACCACTTATACCCTTTTAGTCCTCAGCGTTCGTGTCTGAGGGGTGCACCTTCTACAAGACCCTGTTGCTCTTCCTACTGTCAAGGATGGGCGGTCTAGTGCCCCACCCCCACCTGATGCACCTTTACACTTTCAGTGTGGCCCCCTTGTGAACAACCTCCACCAGTTCAGATGAGGTGCCAAGCGCTGCCTCCCCAACCCCGCCTCCGAGTCAGAAGTCTGCAATCGAGATCCCTCAGGGACCTCGGGGCTTTGCTCCCATGCTGGTCTGTTGCACCCCTCTCTTGGTTTGCCCCCATGGGGGAGGGCCAGACCTGCCACGCTCCCCAAGCTGTATCTTCAGTGCTGTCCCTGCAGCACTTCGTCTAGGGAGCACTTCGTCTAGGGAGCACTTCGTCTAGGGAGGGGAATCGAGACTGTCGTGCTTCGCAGGAGGAGAAAGCCCTGTATTTCTCTCAAGGAGCTGCTGGTGGTTTTGAACGACTGACCTCACGGGACTGAGAAAGTCAGTTGTAAGCAATGTGCCAAGTCCTTGTCTTAGGAACAGAAAAAAGAGCCAACGTCACTCCACCCGAGGGAGAAGGTGGCACTTGATTAGACAGAATGGTAATATTGAAAAGTGAATGGTTGAGTCCACAAAATGACGCCACCAAACTGGAGCGCAGATGAAAGAAGAAAGTTAGCATGCTGATCATTATTAGAGTGGTCATTATTATTAGGGGGGTATGTTCACGAGGGTTCTTTGTACCATTCTCTCAGCTTTTGTGCCTGCTTTTAAATTTCATAATCAACATGGCAGATTAGTAAGGGAGGTACATGATTGAAGGGAGCTATTTGTATTTCTCCAAGTAATAGAATTGCTTTAAAAGCATAATAAAGAGGGATTTGTTAGTGACTGTGCTTTGTTATTGTGATCCAAACCAAACTCATTGCCATCAAGTTGATTTAGACCGATAGCCATCCTATATAGCAGGCGTCCTCAAACTATGGCCCACGATCCACATGCAGGGCCCACCGAGGACATTTATCCGGCCCGCCTGGTGTTTTTGCCCCATTTGTTTTTTTACTTCAAAATAAGATATGTGCAGTGTGCATAGGAATTTGTTCATAGCTTTTTTTAAAAACTATAGTTCAGCCCTCCAACGGGTCTGAGGCCCCCTGTTTATGAAGTTTGAGGACCCCTGCTTTTAGGGTTTCCAAGGCTGTAAATCTTTACGGAAGCAGATGGACTCAACTCTCCCCATGGAGGAACCACTGCCTTTGCTGTCGGCAGTGCAATGTTTGCTCAACAGGAACCCTGGGAATGCTTACTCTCCCCACCCTTCCAAGGGTCCCTGCCCAGAGAAGCCTGGCCAGTTGGCTCAGGGCAATAACAGTGGCTCCCAATCTGACATGCGCCTTGCAAACTTGGACCAGGGGCTTGCAAACTTTTATATGCTGCGGGATCCATGGTGGGTTGGGGCAGGCTGGGCCTTCGTTCACATTGCTGATTCCTGAGTCCCCTCGGATCTACCGGCTCCCACAGGTGAACTCGAGCTTAAGAAGCCTGCTTGGGACGCAGGCGGTTACCCACTGGCGGCTTCCGTCAGAGCAGCAGTCTCGGCATTGACTGCCTGGCAAAGGGTTTGGGTTTTCTGTTGTTCATCTCTTCACAGACGGGGACTGTGACACCTGTCTCCTGCAGAGGGGCCGGTAGGTTCTAACTAGGGACTTTGGTCAGCAGCCGAGCTCTTCAACAGCGTCCCGCTCGGGGACTTCACAACGATGACATGGAATCCAGAACACTGGCCTATGGGCACCTGAAGCCGTGCCTGGCAGTTAGTGGATACAATACGCTGTGTATGTATCTGTGAGTGTGTAAACTATGTGACGTAGTACTATTGACTGCTCTTTAATCTTCCCTTTGACCTCCAAGGATTGAAGTCCTATTTAAAGTGTGACCATCAGAGGGCGGTGTTCCTGTACCTTGCTTCCCTGAGGGAGAACTGCAACATCACCACTTACCCCTGCGGCTCCTACTGGGATTACAGGAATGGCATGTGTATCAATTGCGGCCCGGAGCTGAAAGAGCCGTGTCCCCTAATGGGTAAGCCCAACCACACATGGCCCTGCTTTAACATGCTGGGGATCTCGGCACCCACTCTCCTGTCTGAAAAGGAGCCTGGGGGGTTTAGCGTTTAGACAACTCTGCTTCATCAGTTTGTTTGTTCGGGGCCCATTGTCCCGTGAACAACTCTCGAGTCTCCTAAAAAGTGTTTCCAAAGCAACTTGTATAGCTTTCCATCCTCCAGAGACATTATTCTAGTGTGTGTGTGAGAGAGAGAGATCCGGAAAAGTTTCCAAGCTGAACTAGGGCACGGAAGCGTACACAGCCATGTCCCACGAGGCAGGAACGCCCTGCCACGTACACACCCCGTCCGCCGGGGCCCACGAGGCACCCAGGAACCATCCTGACAAATGGGCCTTGCAGACCACTCCACTCCAGCATGTCAGGACCGCAAACACCACCCTCCCCTCACTCGGGTGCTGGTGAGCGTGTCTGTTCGTCAGGTGGGTCCTGGGTGCTGTGCAGGCTGGATGCTAACGGTCAACACACTTATTATAGGTGGTGAGGACTTTGAAAACGGGGTGCTCATGAGAATTTTTCAGTTGTTTCCAAAAGGAAGGGCCCATGTTAACATCAGGGCCTGGAATGGGCAAAGTGGTTCTTGACCTTGGTGGTACCACAGACCTAGCTGTGTGGTTAGGGGCCCTCGGGTTGGCTCTGACCCAAAGCGACCCCCTGCACAACAGAACAACCCCTGCCGGGTCCTGCGCCAGCCTCACCACTGTTCCTGTCCTTGGGCCCATTGATGCCGCCACTGCATCCATCCATCTCCTTGAGGGCCTTCCTCATTTTCACTGCTACCGCTAGTCTCAGTTTGTCGTACTGTGGCGGCCTACATGTGGCTGTGAGGCTGGAAGTGATGCCCTTGGCATTTCAAATGCCAGCAGGGTCACCCAAAGTGAACGGGTTTTGGCGGAGCTTCCAGACTCAGAACAGGAACAGAAAGACGGACTCGGCTCCCCACTTCAGAGGGAGAAGCTGCTGAAAACCTTACAGACTTATCTAGGAAGCTTTTAAAAAAATATATCCGTGCCTGGGCCTCAGTCATTCAGTCAGGACCTGAAGGCCATCCACTGGAGGTAGGGACAGAGAGGAGGCAGCCCCACAGGGGCTGCATTTGACCTCATTCCTTGCAGGAAGGAGCATGAAGGAGGCCACCCACCTGCTTAGGGACAGACTCTCAGGACCAGTCCGGGTACTGTGCCATTTAGGGAGCCACTGGTAGCTCTTCAGGCAAGCCCCTCGCTTTGCCAGCATGATGCTGTTTGAATGACAAACCTGCATCTCTCGTAATTTATAAATGAGTGCACTCCTATTGCACATCCATGCTGACTTCAGTCCATACCAACGCGTGACACTTCCGACCTCCAGGCACCTTGACCAAGACCCAGTGCCGGGTGACAGATGCCAGTCAAAATGGGGAATGCCTTTTGGGGGCCCTTGGCAAACACCAGCTCTGAGGAAAGAGCCAACCAGCAAGCTGTCATGTGTGCTGGGGACACTCCTGCCCTGGTGGCTCTGTGGGTCTTCACCGTGGACTGGGAGAGGCGTCAGAGCGAATTGTGTCATGGTGGGGGATGGTGGTTTACAAACGCGTCATTCTTGCTCCCTTCCCACCTGGGCTGGTAATAATACATGTTGACACGCTTTCTTCTCCACCTTGCTTCACAGGTTATTATGCTGACCAGTGGAAAGTCTACTTAGGAAGGAAAGACACTCCCACAACGACAGCATTCTTTGACACGGCCGCGAAGAGACCTTACTGCTGTGAGTGACGCAGGGGGTTTGCTTTCTGCCCAACCTTTTACTTAGAGAATGGCCGGCTCTCGGTCTCCTGGATACTTCTTGACCAATGAGGGACATGGCAAAGTATGGGGCCATGTGGGCCAAATCCAATTCTCTCACTGTGGTAGGCTGGATTGACTAGAGAAATAAATCCAGTGACATTCATCTATGTCTAAGAAAGAGCTTTCTATCAAAAAGCAATTATCTATCAAGAGAACATCCCAGCCCAGTCCAACTCAAGTCCATGAGTCTGATACTAGTCCAGACTCATGCAGCCCCTTGCAATGACGCGGAATGCAGGAAGATGACAAGCAGGCGGGTACAGAATCGTGTGGGTCCAATGGCGGTGGCTCTGGCAGCCATCAGAATCAGCCAGCAGGAAAGTGAAGGCAGAGAAGGTGGGGGGTGGGGGGAGTCGGTGAGGTTCCCAGGACCCTCCTTATTAGAAGGCCACACCCACAAGGAGGCTTCATCAGGCTGTCACCTGATTGGCAGGTTGAATACCACTCCATACACTTGGCCATATCTTCAAGTTGACATGAAAGGATGTCACTACCACCATCACCTAATGGCTGTGCGACCTTGTTCAAAGTCACTTAACGTCTCTGAGGCTGAATGTTCTGATTGGTAAACTGAGGATCAGTGCCTACCTCCTGGGCGGTGAGAATTAAACACTTCCATGGATCGTACTTGATCGTTTCCCTGGAGGGTCACCGTAACCACCGAGTCCTTCCCAAAATTGCTTGGTGCTCAAGAGACCTGGGATGGAGCACCAAATATCGGCTGCTTCTGTGGATCAGTTCCAGCACCAGGCAGCCAGGAGGCCTTCCCTGACCATTACCCCAAATGAGATCTCCCTTCTGGAGGTTCTAGTCAGGAGCGGGGCTCACCTCAAACCTACTCAGCACGCTTGCTACATTTACAAAATGCAGGGATGATCACTGAAAACAAACACACAAAACAAGGTTAATGTGTGAGTACAGTCGATTGCTCTGGATCTTCAGCAGACATTGGGGTGGGGGCAGGGAGGAAGTTGGCTGATCCACGTGGGAGATCAATGGGTGCAGCAGAGGATGAGCTACCTGGGAGGCCACTAAGAATCTGCCTGGGCAGATATGTGTCTTGCATCCTGGTCCTTGTGGGCACTTTTCTTGGGAGCAACCTTGTGGAGGAGGCTGCAAATGACTGGCTTTCTTTCCTCCCCTCCGGAGCCGGGTGTGAATGACGGCTCAGAATTGGGGCATCTGCCTGGTCTTCATGGGGCCTGGCCCTAAGCATGATGGTCCATGTAGTGGCAACAAGGCCTTGTTTCTTTGCGTGATTGTCCTCTCCCTGCGCCTCTTGCCTCTTCCTTGAAAGTCTGGCCACGAGCCAGGGAGTCTGACTCCTATGATGGGATCCCAACATTCCCTAGACACCCCTGACCTTAGGGAGGAGGAGGAGTTCTCCGAACATAACCTGAGCTCTTGTGTACTCAACAGGAGTGTCCAGGGTGCCCACGGGTGTTTGTGCTGGGATTACAAAGAAGGCTTATTCATTCACCCCTTCTTCGTTATTGTTGTAGTATTGTCTAGTTTTACCCTTTCAACAAAATCCACAGGATTATTTTCAGGCGCACTATTCGTATGACCGAACCCATACATTGACCACTTTGTGGGGATTGTTCTTAGGTTTTGTAAGTGTGCTGAGTAGTGATGGCTCCGGGCATGACCGGAACTCCAAGAAAGGAGACGTGGCTTAGAGTGAGCATCTAGGTGAGGGGTGACATGGAGTCCAACCTGAGGGGTGAGGTGGCAAAGGGTGCCTTGGTAAGAATGTAGTGGACAGGGAGGACGGCCCGAGAGGAAGAGCGAGCGTGGGGGTACAGAAGTGCAGGTGGCCTTGGCCTGACTGTGGAGAGACGGCGGAGACAGGAGGAGATTGTGGAGGCTCCTGGCAGCCATCAGAAGCCACCTCATGGCCCCTTGGTGGTTTAATCTAAAATGGCCTGGGATTGAAGTGAATCACTCACCCTCAGCAATCGGTCAGAAAAGAACAAAAGAAACCAATCTCCAATGCCATCGAGTCGATCCTTAAAGGACAGGAGAGAACTGCCCTTGGGTGTTTCCAAGACCAGGACTCTCTTACAAGAGTGCAAAGCCTCATCTTTCTCCTGTGGTTTTGAACTGCGCTGCAGTTAGCAGGCCAACCTGTAACCCCCTGTACCACCATATGTAGGCCAAGAGACCCCAGTTGACTAGCTACCACTGAACTCTACTTTCACGCCATCTTTACCAAGGAGCAGCCGAGGGAGTTAGAAAATTCTACCCTGGGTCTGTGTGCACGGACTGGAGAGGAAGAGCCACAGAAGCTTGGGGATCAGGGCAGGTGGGTGCTCTTGCTTCCAGGAAGTAGGTGGGAGTCCTTCTCTCTTAACGGTGCTCTCTGCCTGTTTGCAGTATATCATTATTTTGTGGATATCATATCTTGGAACAAGGATGTAAGAAGAGGATTCATTACGATTAAATTAAAAGACAAAGCTGGAATTACTACAGAATCCAAAATAGACCAGTAAGTTGGGCTGGGATCGTTTGTAATTTTCCATTTCCCTTTTTGCTCAGCAAAATGAAACCCAAATAGACACCATCCCCTACCCCCTTTTTTTTTTTTTTTTTTTTTAAAGCTGTGTGTGTGTGTGAATTAGATGAAGGTTTTGTGGAGCAGACCGTAGTTTTACATTCATCAATTCACATGCATTGACTCAATGCACCATCATGGACCAGATTTCCTCCCTGTGTTTTGATTCCTTCTTTATTACCCTCTGACCTTTGTCCTGGATAAATGCTGCTCTTTTGACCTTAAATCAGTTAAGGGTCATAGTCTTGCCCCCACCCCCATCTCAGTCTCTAGCCAATCAACGAACCTGGTTTCCTTGATGATTCTGAGTTCTATTCCACACTTTTCTCCTGCTCTATCCCAGAACTCCTAGTGTGATCCCTTTCAGAGCAGTTGATATGGGAGCCGGGCACCATCTACTTCTTCTGGTCTCGGTTTGGGAGATTGCTATTGATGAGATCCATTCATCCTATGGACTGTTTTTATGGAATGTCATCACTTCATTTTTTTGGACAAAGGGACACCTATAGTTGCACCTCAGGTGACTGACTGCTCACGACCTTTGAAGACCCCAGCAGCAGCTCACCAAATTTGGGTGTAGAACACCAACTTTGCGGACTATCTGACACCAATTGACCTGGGTGTCCCCTGAGACTCTGGGCCTGATCTCCTAGGTCCAGTGATACTTTCCCTCAAGGTGGTTATGTCTGAAAAGCTTTAAAGACCTCATCTTCTATGTGCTTCTCCTCATTCATGCCTGTATATGCATACAAATAAATCTACCTATTCAAATATCCTCTATCAAACCTAACACATGTACATACCCTCTATCACCCTTGATAACACACAAAATGCCTTCAGTCAAACATGAAGCACATGAGTCAGAATTCATGGGCATATCCCCACTCTCCCTCTGCCCCCTGTTCAGCCTGAAAATCTACCCAGGCATCTACTCATAGATTTCTCCCCATTGCAAGGTTTGTATAAACAGTACTGACTTCTGTTGCCTTTAACTCTGGCAAACTTCCGGGGGTCTTGCCTGGCCTCCCTAATTTTCTCTTGATCTTCCTTATTGTGTATTGCCTTCCCCTTCATCCATAAATACCTATTGTTTTCCTCAGTTTAAATATCTGTACTATAAAAATGATGACGTTGCATATAATTTTGTTGGTTTTCCTGGCTCTTGTAAAAAACAGAATCAGTACCCTTTTCCCTTTCTTGTTCTCTTTCATGTCCGTCCTTCCTCTAAATGCTCACAAAAGCTAGCCATGCGTGTGCAGAGGATTTAAGCAGTAGAGGGATGTGCAACAAAAGGGTGTCGGGCTCTAGTGGAGGAGTGCTTACAAGTTGGGCTGTGATTCTCAAGGTCAACAGTTTGAAGCCACTAGCCTATCTGAGGGAGAAAGACGTGCTTTCTAAACCCGTAAAGAGTTTGTGGCTGTCCCTGGGCCCCATCAAGTTGGTTCTGACCCGGAGCGACCCTGTGCACAGCAGAATGAAACACTGCCTGGCCCTATGCCATCCTTACCGTGTTCCTCTTCCTGATCCTCTTGCTGCGGCCACTGTAACAATCCATCTCCTGGAGGGCCTTCCTCTTTTTCGCTGCCCCTCCACTTCACCAAGTACGATGTCCTCCGCCAGGGACTGGTCTCTCCTGACAACACGTCCAAATTAGGTCAGAGAAAGTCTCACCATCCTTGTCTCTGAGGAGCCCTCTGGCTGCACTTCTTCCAAGCTATATTTGTTTGTCCTTTTAGCAGTCCATAGTACTTTGACTATTCTTCTCCAGCACGATTCAAAGGTACTGCGCTTCCTTGGACTTCCTTATTCAATGCCCAACTTCCACATGCATGTGGCGCAATGGAATATACCATGGCTTGGGTCAAGGTGTGCTTTAGTCCTCAGAGTAACAGCCTGGCTTTTCAATACTCTAAAGAGGTCTTGTGCCACAGAGTTACAGTCTCAGACACCCACAGGGGCAGACCTACCCTGTCCTGTAGGATTGCTATGAGTCAGCATCAACTGGATGGCGGTGAGTTTAACAAAAGTGCCAGTCCTTTCCTCTACCCAGCAGTCCCATCACCAAAGGCATCCCAGTACTACACACACTTGGTTGAGGTCCAGGTCCAACCAGAGATGCCTCAGAACAAGCAGCCACTGAAACTCATGGAGCCGATAAAAATCCCGTGTTTACTCTGACACACATGAGTCCGGACGGCTCGTGGAGTTTCTACTGGCTGCTAACCACACAGCTGAGCATGAGCGTTCCGGCTGAATGGTGGCCCCCTCACACAGATCTCTATGAGGCGGCCAGTGGCCTGGTGAGGGCCTGCCCTTCTGGAAGTCTTCGTTAGAAGTCAAGTGGCTCTGGTCACATGCCGGTGATTTGCTTCCTGCCTAGAACTGCAGTATTCAGAGGCGGACTTTGTTTTTCTTTTATGATGGTGCAGTGAGGCAAGCTTGGGTGACTGACTGACAGGAAAGCAGTTCGAACCTACCAGCTGCTCCTGGGGAGAAAGAGGAGGCAGTCCGCGCCCATAAAGGCATCAGCTCTACTCTGTCCTCTAGAGTCCCGAATGGTTGGACAGCAGTGGCTTGTAAATGGTTTTGGTTTGGAGCCTAGTGGTGCAGCGAAGAGGTGCTCAGCTGCGAACACCAGCTCCCTCGAAGAGAAAGAGGTGGCGGGAAGCAGCGCCTGGGGAGCCCTGAACTCGCACGGTGCAGACATCGGAGCCCGTCCTCGAGAGCACATCCCCACAGCGTCAGCTCAAAAGGCAGGTCCCGCTCGTTCGCCCTGGACCTCGCACGTTCTGCATGGACACGACCGTTCACCGCACCGTCCTCGCTTCGCGGGTGAAAAGGCCGAGCCTGCGCACAAAGTCACTTTCCCCCGTTTCTCTCTCTGCTTGCTGAGCAAGATGGCACGGTCTGCCTTGACCCGCGGAGCCTCTCGGATTTGAAAGGATTGGTTTTTGCTTGCTGAGTGAGTGCTCGGAGCTGCTATGATTAATAAAACTGCTCAGCGTCCTGCCCCACTCTCCATATCATGCAGCGCGCAAGGCACCTGCCTTACCTGCCCCACCTTAGATGGGCCTCGTGTGGCCCCAAAAAGATGGCCTATGGCTGGAGACCACTGGCTCCCAGTGGATCTTAGGACAGAGAGCCAGCCCTAGGGCTTCGAATACTGTCATTTTTAAGGGCACAAGCTGCCTGCCGCATCTTCCTCCCGCGGAGGGGTTTGGCTGATTGGCTGGTGGGTTCACCACCTTCTTAGCAGCCAGCACTTAGATGGGAAGCCCTACACGGGGTCCCGATTCGGCGGGATCCACTCCACTACAGGGAATTATTGTGTAGGTCCGGGCCTTGATGGTTTCCCAGCCCCATCTGAGCCTTTGGAAAATCTGCGGTGAGATGCTGAGACTCCTAGCCATGGGCCGGCACGGACATGGCCTGAGCGCTTCCATCCAAGATCCCATTTGTAGCGCGCAGCTCTGAGAAAGACCGGGGTCATCATTTCATTTCCCTGGTCTGCATCCCCCTAGTGCTCCTGGCCCTCAGCCATGCGGCCCCGGGAGGTGCTGGAAGGCCCTGCGCCTGCGTCTGCGTCGGCTTCGTGGGCCAGTGGGCCAGGCGGGTTTGCATCCCGACCGACACCCCAGAGCGCACGCGCCAGCTCCGCCCCCGCCGCAAGCCGTCCCCGCCCCCGCACGGCGCACGTCGTCCCCGCCGCACGCAGCCCCCGCCCGCGCACGCCGCACGTCGCCCCCGCACGCCATTCTGGGAGCCCTGCTGGTTCCCACGGCTGCACGACCCGGGAGCTCAGCGCCTCTCCCGTCCCAGAGACACGCAGCTTCTGCTTTTCAGAGTGTGTTCTCCTGAACCCAGGATCCCTGCGCCCGGTCTGCACGGCAGCCCTGGTGGCGCAGTGGGTTAAGCGCGGCGGTCCTGGGTTCAAGCTCTCCAGGGGTTCTGTGGGACCGAGATAAAGCTGGCCGCTCCACAAAGATGGATGGGCTTTGTCCTACCTCCAGGGTGGTTGGGAGTCAAAGTAGACTTCCTGGCAGTGGGTTTGGTTGGTCGAGACCTCTGAGGATCAGTCGTTCTCCAGGAAACCGAGGTTCCTTTTGAGTAACTGGGAACCCAAATTGCATAAGGTTCAGACTCGTTTTACGGCTTGTACTTCCTTCTCCAGGGCAGGGACACAGATCTAGTGGGCCTGGGGTCACCTCATCCTAAAGGAAGGATTCATCCCTAGAGCTAGTCTGCGGATCTTGAACGTGGCAAGGGTCACCCAGTATCTGTAAGGGTTTTTGGGGCGCAAAGCGGAATTAAAGATCCAATTGGTAAAGTTTTAGAAGCAGGCTTTATTGAGAAGCTTGCGGACGGGTTCAGTAACTCACATATTGAGCTAATGAAACCGCGCGGGGAATTTCTGGCTGCGTTTTTATATCCCCTGGTGGCAGGCACAGCTGCACACAGGGACTTCAAAGGGAAGCGCTCATTAATTTTATCTATAGGTCCGGGATGGGTGGAATAAACACATCTTCAAGGGATGCAGGGAAATGGTCGTTAATCTTATCTATAGGTACGGGGTAGGTGAAGTAAACATCTTCAAAGAACATTCTTTCTCGGGGATATCTGGTTTTCAGCGAGGGGAGGGGAGGCCGATGTGAGGGAGGCCCATGAGAGGTGAGTTCTGAGAACCAAGAAGGTGCCGGATTCAAAATGGAGTCCCTTGTGCCAAGACCAGACAGTATCCACGGCAACCAGAAAGACGTGGACCCAGCCGGCCGCCTCCCCAAGTGAATGCACCTTGGGCTCCATTTGGGTTTCCATCTGCGGAAAACATCTCCACACACTTGGAACAAAGTATTGAAACCTGGGGTTGTAGCTATCTGAAGATTCATCACGAGAGGCGGGCCTGAAGCCTCAATAGGCACAACTTTTTATTTATTTAAAGACCATTTTGTTGGGGGCTCTTAAAGCAGTCCATATAGCAACTGTATCAAGCATATTTATGCATATGTTCCATCATTGTTTTCTAAACATTTACATTTTATTTGAACCCTTCGCACAGCTCCTCTTTTTACCCTCCCACCCTCATGACCCCTTGACAAATTATAAATTACTATCTTACACCAACCACTGTCTCCCTTCCCCTGTGGTGCACCCCCCCAACACACACACACTTTCCTCCTACTCGCCTGGTATAACTACTCCCATTTCTGTTGCCAAGGGATTTATCTGACCTAGATTTCCTGTGTCCTAAGCTCTTATCTGTACCTGTGTACATGCTCCAGTCTAAGTGAAAGGCAGTACTGGGGTCATGATAGTGGGGGGTGAGGAAGCCTCAAGGAACCAAAGGAATATTGTGTATCATTGGTGCTATCCTTCACCCTGGTTGACTCATCCCTTCCTTGCCACCCTTCTGTGAGGGGATGTCGCACTGTCTACAGATGGGTTTGGGGTTTCGGCTCTGACCCTCCTCATTCTCAACAATGTTTTTGTTGTTGTTTAGGGTCTTCTGGTGCCTGCTACCTGATTCTGTCAACACCTCATGATCACACAGGCTGGTGTGCTTCTTCGTTGTGGGCTTGTTGCTTCATTGCTAGATGGCCGTCCAGGTGCTATATCTTTTTATAGCCAGGCACCATTAGCTTTCTTCACCACATTTGATTGTGCACCCAGTTTGTATTAAGCGATTGTGCCAGGAGGGTGAGCATCATAGATTGTCAGGTCGTTAGAACAACATGCTCTTGGTTGAGGGAGGGCTTGAGCAGAGGCCCAAAGTCTGTCTACTTCCTCAGTGTATGGCCATATAAATAAATGTACCTATGCGAATACCTCTGTTTTTTTATGAATTCATATATTTATCTATGTTTATACCACTGTCCATAGCTTTGCTTCCTAGATCTTTCCTCTGTTTCCTTTTACCGTCCTCCTTTCCCACCATCACACTTGCCTTTCTTCTGCCTCTTAGTAAGCCTCCCAGCTAGATTGCTGTGGCTCCCACACCTCCAGGATCTCTCTATCCTTCTTGTAGTTGATTTTAATTCCCTAACTAGGGAATTCCTGCCTGTGGCACTGTTCCTCTATCTATGGCTCCCTTCTCCCACTAAGTCCCCCTTCAGCCCCGTTGCTTTCCCCTCGGGCTGGCTTCTCATGCCTATATTCTGTAGGTAGGCAAACCAACAATAATGTAGACAACACAAGCAGAAAACAAAACATTGAATACGAAGAGAAAAAAGAAATCGAAAAATTATATATATAAAGGAAAAATAACTAGCAAAAAATAAATAAAACAACCTCCAAAGGCATAGATAATTCCAGGTCTGTCTGCTGACCTTTATGACTGTCTCCCCACTGGTCCAGGAACTTCCTCTCCTAGCTTTACATCTATCTGGGGGGCTCTCCGGTGGCTTTGTGGCTTGGCTTTGCTACCATTGCTGATCTGTTATGTGCCCTTCTTGGTTCACTCCAGTGTGGGGGCTAGACTGGACTAACTCCTGCCGTGTGTCCCCAGTATTGTCCTCTGTCTCAGTATGCTCCACTGAGGGGCATCATGTCTCGAGCTGTTGTTGGCCCTACAGTCCTCTCTGAGACTTAGCAGCTCCATGCAGGGAGGTCATCCTCGGGGCTTGGTGTGCTGATATGGGTCTAGACCTTCAATCTTTTTCCTTCTTGGTATGCTTCCATGTGGTTGTGGCATGTCAGTCCCTCTTTCCAACCTGTAGATTTACTGTTATCATCTGTAGCACATACTTCTAGGGAGGGAGTCAGCTTGGCTCTGATTTGGGCCTGCCCTGTAGCCCACTCTGTTCATGTGTTGCTCCCTGTGGTCACGCTGCCCTCAAGGTGTGGTGTGCCATGGTGGGGTCGGCATGCACACTCCCAGTTGTGTGGAGACAATTCTCTCCCCCTGGGTGGGCTAGTGGTCTGCTCCCCAAGTCCTATCGTCTCCCCACCCCTGCTTTTCCCCCTTTTTTCCCTCCCCCTTCCCCCCTTCCCCTTTCATGTTGGAATGACAGGCATACCCTTCGGTTTGGCCTGTCCCCCACCCACCTGCCTGTACCTCCACCTGTATAGTGTGAGGGAAGTGGCTTATCTTCTGTACCTATTGTGCTGATGATACCTTAGGGGACTCATGTTGTACTTGTCCTTTTGTGACTGGCTAATCGTTTAGCATAATTTCCTCTCACTCTTCCCATGAGGCAAATGAATAGGCACAACTTCTCAGGTAATAACTCACTCAAAAAAACTCAGGTGGATCATAGTGACCCTAAAGGACAGGGTAGAACTGCCCCTGTGGGTTTCTGAGACTATCACTCTTTATGGGACTAGAAAGCCTCATCTTTATCCCCAGGAGCATCTGGTGGTTTAGAACGGCTGACCTTGCAGTTGGCCACCAGACAAGTGATCCACTATGCCACCAGGACTCCCGGTAATAACTCATTCAGCTAAAAAGGTAGTAAGTAAATTTGTCCCTGATTTGTACTTGTGGTACAGAAAATGCACATATGTGTCCAGCAATGTGGTATCATGGAGAGACTGTCACTTTGAACTTACTCTGAACCGCTCCACACATGCCCTGTGGCCCAGGTGAGCATCACCTTTGTAAGGCGAGGGCTCTACCATCCCTCCTGGCAGGCTTTCTCAGAGGCGTGAAGGGACAGATGAGTCCATAGAGAAGTGCAACGGTGAAGAGCAGTGGTCAGTAACGGCGCCCCTCTCCAGTATCGGCACTCCATCATTCCTGGGGACACCAGCTTCCCCTGCGTGTCCTGTGGGGCCCAGCGGCTTTGCCTGTGGAAGTAAGCTGGTGGAGGCGTGCTCCCCTGCCTTTGCAACCAGTCGAGTAGATGCCGATTCGGGGAAACTCCATGTTTGTCATGGGAGAATTGTGTCCCATAGAATTTTTTTGATCTCTGAGGTTTTGGGAAAAGGTTACCAGGCCTTCTGGTCAACAGTTGAGAGCATTAACCACTGGCGCCACCCAGAGCTTCTCTGGCTGCTTGCTTAGCATTGGCATGTAGATGGTGGGCCTCTTTTTATTCATTATCAATTTACATATCCATTCAAATATTCTTTCTTCCCTCTAGTCAACCGATAGCATTTCAGAAATACCACGAAGTGAACCTGCTTGCAAGATTTGATCGAGACCTGGATGAAGTGGCAGCCATTTCCTTGATATTCTCTACGGGACGTTTGATAGGATCAAAGCACATGCTCCGGATTCTCCAAATGAAGTTACGATCCATTGACCATCCCAACAGGTGCGCACTAGACAGGGTTCCACAAACCCTTGCTTTCTAACAGTGTTGTTCTGCCAAGACGCCATCAGTCACAGGCAGGGAAGTAAAAGATTTCCCCCGACCTAACTCACAGCCTTTGAGCTGGTCCTTTTGTCAGTGTTTGAAATGAATTTGTCACTCAATACCCAAGTCCACTTCCCTTTTACGTTCCTCCCTTTTTAGCCACTCAGACCAACATTTAGATCTGCAGGGCAAGGGGTCTGGAGTGTTTTCTCCTTGATGACGCAGCTTTTATTTTGTTTACTTATTTAGGGTGTGGTTTATTCCCATGTGACGCCCTGCACTGAGTCTGAGAGTGCTGTTCTGTAGGGTTTCCGGGGCTGTCAGTCTTCATGAGCGCAGCAAGCCTGGTCTTTCTCCCACGAGTGGCTGGCAGGTTTGAACCACCAATCTTGTGGTTTAGCAATCCAACACTCACTACGCAGTGCCACCAGAGCTCCTGAATAGGTGTGATAAAATAATAATAATAGTAATAATCTAGGAAGCCAAGAAAGGCAAGCTAGTATACTTAATGGTGAAATGCCCCAGTATCTGAGAAAATAATGTTGTTTTGTACATATAGACCTACCTATGATTTTATATGTATCTGAGTTTACATATATATATATATATATATATATATATATATATATATATATATATATGTATGTATATTCTCCCTTGCCATCTATACTACTTGTGAGTTGAATTTTTTCTTTTTTGTAGAAGAGAAAAGCTCATTTAATTTGATGAACTGATAAAAGAGACTAATATTTAAACGGCACTGAAAATTTGTTATCTTTTGTTCCATTGGCATAGTATTATTAAATTTCTTAAATTTGAGAAAGATACTGAGAATATCCTTGGTCTTGGGAGACGTACCTGGGAGAAAGGTGAGGCTCTCTGCGCCCGCGTAGATCTGCAGCCTGGGGACCCTCAGGAGCAGTTCAGATCTCGCAGGGTCACCGTCAGTTGGAATTGACTTGATGGCAGTGGGTTTGGTCTTTCAGTTTGGGTAGGAAATGCGCACGGAGCTATTAAATGGTAAAAACCTGTACCCTCTCCTCCCTCCAGAAAAAAACAAAACAAAAAACCAACAGTGTGTGTGTGTGTGTGTGTGTGTGTGTGTGTGTGTGTGTGTACAGAGAGATCGGGAGGAAGGAGAGATGGAGGGTAAGACAGGAGGAAGGGAGAGGATGCTTTTTGAGTTTTAAGTCCAGGGCTGTGCTGCTATGTGTTTTCTGACCTATGTGGCGTATACCCCACCATGCAGTGTTGTCAACTCTTACCTTACAAGTTCCTTCGTGTTTGAAGTCTTTCTTCTTGGTGCAGGGAACCCTAACACATTTAGTTACGTTCAGTCTAAGAGAATAATCGTTACATCTCAAAACTGGGATTTTAAACATACTTGTTCATTATCAAAGGAAGATAGGCCAATTTTATAAAATCTTAAGAGTACAGCAAGTGTTAAGAAACAGAAAATGATCGCCTATAAGATCACTCTTCAGAGGTAGACACTTACTTTTCAGTATTTCCCATTTTCTTTGAAACTTTGTTGAAGTGGCGTGGGCAATGAAAAAGTTGAGCCAGCGTTTGGCTGTTTTGCTTGTGTCATAAGCACACTCCCTATTGTCAGAAGAAACTGCTGGATACTTTTCTTCCACAAGGAAATAATCTCGTGCACTCGATTAGAAAGTGGTGATTCTGTAACTTCGTTGACAAGGACATTCTATCTCCTGTCCCTAGGCCCCCGTTGTGCCGGTATGACTTTATTCTGACGGAAAGCAGGGAAACAACCTTCCAACCCATTCCTTGCCGAAACGTGCAAATGTAATCGTTGTGGGAACACGACGCACGTAACATCAGGAAAAGGACCACCCGTGCATCCCCTTTTCCACGAGGCACAAAAAAGCACAGGAAGACCAGCGTTTTGCTTAGTGGTGTTCTGTGGATGTCGCATTGTCCAACGTCAAACGACCTTGTGATTACAAAACCATCCCAAGACCAGAGCACCTAACGAGGGCAGTCAGAAATAGCCGGGCTCCCGGCTGCACACTGCTCAGTTTAGCTGTGTCCTGGGGCCTCCTTTGTTCCAACCTGGCTTGTCGACTCCGCTGCTGCCGTCACAGGGATTCATTCGGCTGCCACGGCTGGAGATCACCTTCTTTGTGCCACATCCTCCTGGCAAAGAAACGGACCTACCTCACAGGGCTGGTGTGTGGGCAGGGGAGGCAAATCTGCAAAGGGTTCTTTCAGGGCGGGGGGGAGGGGGGTGACAGCCCTGAGATTTTTGAATAAACGTTAATGTATGTTTTTATTTATCTTGACGCATGTATGACTTGTCTTCTGTACAGTTGGGAGCTTGCTTTGGGGGCTATTGCTCAGGGGCAGCAGAAAAGGAGGTGGGAGGACTGTAGCTGCTGAGCCTGTCTATCAGGCGGGTGAAGGAAGCAGGGAATGGGATGACAGGGATGGAGAGGCAGGCAGGAAAGACAAAGCCCGGCTTGATTTGCGGAGTCATCGTTGGACTGCTAACTGCAGAGTTGGTGGTTCGAACACACCAGCCGCTCTGTGGGGGAAACGTGAGGCTGTCGGCCCCTACAAAGGTTTACAGCTGCAGGAACCCTGTGTAGGGTCACTGTGAGTTGGAATCGAGTTGACCACACTGGGCTTTTTCACTTAGCATGGAGAAGGGACCACTTGTCAGGATACCCTAAAACCAAACCAAGCCACCCCCTCCCCAAGGTTTTTTTTTTCTTTCTATTTATTTATTTTTATTTATTTATTTATTTATATATTTTTTAACATTTTATTAGGGGCTCATACAACTGTTATCCCAATCCATACACACATCAATTGTATAAAGTGCATTTGTACATCGTTTCTCAAAACATTTTCTCTCCACTTAAACCCCCGATATTAGGTCCTCATTTTCCCCCTCCCTCCCCGCTCCCCCCTCCCTCATGAGCCCTTGATAGTTTATAAATGGGTATTTTGTCATATCTTGCCCTGTCCGACGTCTCCCTTCACCAACTTTTCGGTTGCTCCCCAAGGTTTTATGTATTGATTTTCCTTATCATCAATGCAATCCGTGATGGTTGAAGGGATACGTAATCCGTGACTATTGAAGAAAAATTTGAAAATACTTAGATGCAAACCGAAGAAACAAAACCAACCAACCAAAATAGTCCCTCACCTCCCTCCCTGGAAGGTAATTAGCATTTACCATTTGAAAAGTAGCTTGACTTGCTAATGTGAGTTCAAAGAGGAAACCTATTTGCTCTTGGTGCATCTGTGGCCTGAAGTTCAAAAAATTCTCAGGCTTCACCTGGAAGTAGGTGTGAGCTGTGAATCTGGAATGGCCACAGCGATCAAGCCAAGAAGCCCTGGAGAGCCAGGCCAAGGAGGCCGGACCACCATGATCCTGGGCCCAGAAGCCCCGTGCAGCACAGAGCCAGAGGGGTGAGCATAACCCACCCAGTTGTGGCCACTGCACATAGGCTCCTGGGGTTCTTGAATGGCCCAGGCCCGGCCCTCCTCCTCGTATGCTAGGACTACTCTTCTACTGCCTTCTGTGGGAACAACTCTTGCTTTAGAGAAATGGACCCTCCACCTCATCAATTATGCACATCTGCCAATAGACTCCTGTGGGGCCTCACACACAGATTCGCCTCAGAAGGATGTTCGCAGCCATTGGCTAATTGACTCTGTCTTTTGTTACCTTAAGGAGCCCTGGTGGCACTGTTGGTTAGGCATTGGGCTGCTACCTTTTCTAGAACCTTCGTGTGTGTGTGTGTGTGTGTGTGTGTGTGTGTGTGTGTGTGTGTACTAGAATAAAGTGTCTATGGAGGTTAGAGGAGCCTTGGTGGCACAGCGGGTTATGATTTGGGCTGCTAGCTACAAGGTCAGCAGCTTGAAAAATCCAGCTGCTCTGCAGAAGAAAGGTTTCCTTCCCCCCAAAGATTCCCAAATAGCAGAAGAAACTCCGAAACTTGTTCTTGACCATAGAGTGAAGGCCAATGGAAGAAGTGATGAACTGAGAGAGCCGAACAGAAAACTTCGAAGGGCAACTTGAGAATACAAAGTAAAGCCTTATCATGCAATGCATGAAGACCTGGAGTTAGAAAGCCCAATGGGAGAACATGCTCAGCATATCTGAAACGGAAAGAACTCAAGACACAATTCAAGCCTGGAGTTGCAACATTGAAACTCTGGGCAAAATATCGAATGATACGGGAAGCATCAAGAGAAGATGGAAAGAATAGAGAAATCACTATCAAAAAGAACTCGTCGACAGCCCACCATTTCAGAAGTAGCACATGACCAAGAACCAATGGTGCTGGAGGAAGAAGTTCAAGCTGCACCGAAAGCATTACTTGAAAACAAGGCTCCAGGAATTGATGGAATGCCCACTGAAATGTTTCAACAAGCCGATGATGCACTGGAAGTATTTGTCTGGGCCAGAAAATGTGGAAGACAGCTCCTTGGCCAACTGACTGGAAGAGATCCATATTTGTATTGATCCTAAAGAAAGGTGAAAAAAAAAAAAAGAAAGGTGACACCCTCCCCAATAAAAGAAAAATGACCCAACAGAATGCTCGAATTATATAACAATATCATTGATATCACACACAAATAAATTTTGCTGAAGATCATCCAACACTGGTAGCAGCAGTACATTGACAGGAGGCTGCCTGAGGTTCAAAGGGGATTCAGAAGAGAACATAGACCAAGGAATCACATTGTTGATGCCAGATAGATCTTGGCTGAAAGCAGAGACTACCACAGAGATGTTTACATGGACTGTGCAAAGGCATATGACTGTGACGATCATAACACACTATGGATAGTCTTGAGAAGAATAGGAATTCCAGAACACTTCATTGTACTCATGCAGAACTTGGATCAAGAGGCAGTTGTGCAGACTGAACAAGGGAATACTGAGTGGTTTAACATCAAGAAAGGTGTGTGTGTGTGTGTGTGTGTGTCCAGGTAGACTAGAGAAACACATCCAGGGAGACTCGTGTGTAAGAGAGAACTTTATTTCAAAGAATAATTGTATATTAAGAAGACATCCCAGTCCAGTCCAGATCAGGTCCATAAGTCCGATATTACCCCATGTGTCTGATACCAGTCTATGAACTCCTCTTCAGACTCACACAACACATGCACTGATGCCGAATGCAGGAAGATCACAGGCCAGTGGGTGGAAAGTCTTGTGGATCCAGTGGCGGTGGAAGCATCTCAGCGCTGGCGTGGGTCTCCTCGTTCCTCCCTAGCTCAGGACGCTATTGTGGCTCCTTGTGTCTTGTCAGCAGGAAGACGAAGCAGAGAGTCTCTGTGTGTTCTACCGTCAGCAAGCTATTTCTCTCCTTCGTGCCTCCAAATGAGGTCATCAAGCTGTGACCTGATTGACAGGCTAAACTCCTCCCCTTCACTTTTAATAGTCTCAAGTTGACACCAGATTATGTAACTATTACTGTGTGTGTGTTGCTTTTAATCAAGGCTTAAATACAAGAAAGGGTTTTATTCTCTCACCATACTTAATCAATCTGTATGCTGAGCAAATCAGAGAGGCTAGATTATATGAAGAATACTGTGACATCAGGATTGGAGGAAGGCTTATTAACCTGGAGATAAGTAGATAACACAACCTTGCTTGATAGTGAAGAGGAATTAAAGCACTTGCTAATGAAGATCAAGGATTGCAGCCTTCAATATGGATCACAACTCGATGTAAAGAAGACCAAAATCCTCACAATTGGACCAATAAAGTATCAGGGTAAATGGAGGAAAGATTGAAGTAAAGAATTTCTTCTTGCTTGGATCCACAATCAATGCCCATGGAAGCAGCCGTCAAGAGATCAAATGATGCTTTGCATTAGGTAAATGTGCCGCACAAGACCTCTGTAGAGCGTTGAAAAACAGGGAGGTTACTTTGCGGACTGAGGTGCGCCTGACCCAAGTGATGGTATTTTCAATCACTTGACATGCATGTGAAAGTTGAATAAGGAAAACCGAAGAAGAATCAATACATTTGTCTTAGGGTGCTAGCAAAGAATATTAAAGGACCGTGGCCTGCCAAAAGAACAAACAGATCTGTCTTGGGAGAACACCGGTAAGAATGGCGAGGCTTTGTCTCAAGTACTTTGGACATGTTGCCAGGAGAGACCAGTCACTGGAGAAGGACGTCATGTGTGGTAGAGGGGCAGTGCCAAAGAAGACTGCCCTTGACCTGATGGATTGACACAGGGACTGCAACCACGGGCTTAGACATGAGAACAATGGTGAGGGTGGCACAGGACCGGCCAGAGTTTTGCTCATTGCACACGGGTCGTTATGAGTTAGAACTGACTCGATGGCACCAGTACCTCCAGTCTGAGAAACCCACAGGGGCAGTTCTACTGGGCCCTAGAAGGTTGCTATGAATTGGAATCTACTTGATGGCAGGGAGGTTTTTTTTGGTTTGTTTTTTTTTTAAGCCTTGAACAACATTGCTTATGGCTCCAGGTCCCTACCAGTACCACGGTTCAAGGTTCTCCCCCATCTGCTTTCCCACGACTCCCTCCCCACACTCTCTCTGCCACTGAGTTGGCATCTGCTTCCATTGCCACTTCCATTGTGCCGTACTGTCATATTTTTATTTACTCTCTGTAACCCCTCCAGGTCTGTGAACTCCACAGGGCCACAAACAAAACCCCTCACTGCCACAGACCCTATAGGACGAAGCAGAACTGCCCCTGTGAATTTCAGAGCTGGGCACTCTTTATGGGAGGAGAAAGCCCAGTTTTCTCCTGCAGAGCAGCTGGTGGTTTCAAACTGCCGGTCGTGTGGTTAGCTCTACTGCCATGACTCCCGTTCCACCAGAGCAGGCGCCTCCTGAGCACCTATAGCACAATGCCAGGCACAGAGCAGGTGCTCGAATATCTGGGATAGAACGAATGCATCCTTGGGGACTGGAGGGTTTGTCTCCTCTCTGAATTAGACATCAACACATTTAACTGTGTTCTTTCCCAAATCCTAAAACTGAAGCTTACTCCCATGCTCTCATTTCTGTTGGACTCTAGCTGAGCCTAGACTTGGTATGTCAGGGATGCAAATGGACTCTGCTCACAGGGGGGTTGGGAGTGGATGGATGGAAACCCAGGAATGGCTGAACCACCAGACCTCAGGAAGGGCAGCTCTAGAGCCTTCAGCAGCGAGTGTGTGGACGTCAGAGCCCCAGTG